AACAATTACCTTCCTTCTCACACTGGGTATAGATATAGATATCTCTGGGCTACAACAACAACATAAATAAGTCATTAATACTGTTCCTCAGTTGTTTGTCGGTGACTATGCTCAAATAATGGGTTTCTTATGTCTCATGAAAATAAAAAAAAAAATTAGCATGTATTCTCGCTAACAAATAACGAAGATTTAATGAACTATTTTAAATAAGAAGTCTCACACTACAAAATAAGGTAACACAATAGACAAACTTTTACGATTCCAAAAAAAGCTGTGTCTTAGTCACAGAGCCACTTATTATCGACGATCACAATTCTCGTCAAAATATAATAATTCGCGCTAAATGCGAACCAAACACACTAGGATATTGTTCCACTAGAATCATAATTTATGGATGGTTTATGGCTGGATCAAAATTTAATAAGAAATCCAATCAATATCCCATCTTAAAATTAATAGGAGTTGTACACGCAATTGCAACTGTAGCCATTATAATAATTTGTAGTGGTTATAGTATACTCATATGCTGTCACCTTATTTACTGCCGACAGTTTCAGTACTTCTTATAACGAAAAGAAGAGTGCTTAAAATAGATCCATATTCAATTCGACTCTATTGATGTCATATTCATATTTGAATTCAAATACATACAGCTGAACGTAAGATTGACATATAAAAATAATCCCCCGCTAAGTAAAAAAAAAAATATAGAGGCGATATCACAACACCATTGCATACAGAAAAATATGACGTATTTGATAAGATGATGTGACCCGAGCAACGTTTGTTGCACTAATAATCAAAGTTCGAATGTTTGATATAAAAACAGGCTAGTCTTCCACGTTTCTGTCATTAAAATATGTATGTCGCTTAAAAAAAATTATTACAAACATATTTAAGTGCCCTTTTGTTTGGGGATTAAGTCGTGACTTTTCTCTTAAAATAAAAAAAATTATTAATTTTAAAATTATAAAAATTTTATTATTTATTTTAATATATATATAAATATATACATTGACATAGAAGTATTACATCAAATATTGTATCATTAGCTTTTGTGGTTTTTTAATATAGTACATTTAATTCCGTAACTATTACATTTTAAGGTCATAATAACGCTAATCAAAATAAAATAAGTTTAATTTTAAATTAAATTTCATTAATAAAAATGTAATAAATATGATGTTCGCGAAGTATATTAACAATAATTATACATACTTGTATAATATACTGAGTACTTGTCCACATTCTAATAGAAAATTACAAATATGCATGTAATGTATATAATTTATATGACTTCTTCCTCTAGAAGAAGTCTTATAATAATTTGTAAATAATTTATATAATAAACAAATATAAAAATGATTAAATTAAGATCTTAAAATAATATAATAGGAAGTTTAGGTAAAGCTTTAAAAAAATTAACATGATATTTTATTTTAATATTATGGAAACATTTAGCTTAATTTATGTAATTAATATAAAAATAAGTCTTTGTCTGTTTTGATGTAAGACCACCACCAATGACTTCATAATTAAGTTTCTTTGTGTCCTCACTCGCAAAACAGATAGGAATACAACATATAATTTATTGTAATGTTTATTTTGTAAAAAGTGGATGACACTTGATCAACAAAGCAACCACTATTTTATTTAAAAGATTTTATAAATTGTACATCTTAAATATAAGTATGTCTGATTCCATTATTTATACAAAAAAAATGTTTAAAAACAAAAATTTTTTATTTATAATTACTTTTATAAAAAGCAAATAAATAACATCTTCTATTTATGTTAAAGAATAAAGAAGCTTTTTTTAAAAAAGAAAAAAATTTTTCATGTAAAATATTTATTTATATCTAAGACAAAAATACCTATCTAAAATACATAATTTTTTTTTGGTCAATTACATGATACATCATATTAAAAATTTCACATTTATAAAAAAATATAATAGCTATATAAAACTAACAAAATAGAAGAAGTAGTCATTACAAAAGTATAATATCCAAATTAAAAAGAAATCTAACGAAAACTCAATATATTTGCCTAAAGAAAAAAATAATTTATTAATATAAATTAAATATTTTTATAAACAATAGTTACCTCCGCAAAACGTTCAAATGCTTTTCCTCTCCAAATAGGCAATTTCTCAACTTGATTAATGTTTTTGAATTTTCCATATAAAGTTCTAGTAATTAAAACATATAAGAAATGAAATACAAAAACATTATTAAATTTATTTATAAATTAGTTAATAAAAGTATACTTATAAACGTATATACTTTTGTCTATTTAACAAATCTTTTATACCTATGTGTCACAATGTGATACGCTGTTTTCTGGCCAATTTGTGGAAGAACCTGTATTTGCTTTATGGATCCCGAGTTCAAAAGATCTAAAATGGCTTTCCTATGCTTTATTAAGTTTTTATTACTCGGCGTTTTTGATTTTATATCATTATGCGCATCGAAATAATGAGAAGTGATATTTTTATTTACTGTTGATTTGATATTCTTATCATCAACAGTTTTAATGGATTTATTCTGATTCTTGCTCACTGAATTTCTTCTGATTTTTTTCTCAGCACTGTTATTTGCTTGACGTATTGAATTTTTTCTATCCTTATACATCTTAATGAGTGATTGACTTCTAGTATGTGACCTATTAAATGAAGATTCACTTATGTTAGAATCATTCATTTGATCACGTAGAGCTTTTTGTTCAGATATGCGGAGTGATCGTCGAATAGAATCATTGTTGTTTCTAGAAATTGGAAGCTCAGGTACTTTAAAAACTGGACTAGTTTTGGAAAACTAGAAAAAAAAATTTTAAATTTAATTAAATGTATTTTTTTAAAGATAAATATATATATACCAATTGTTGACATGTTGTATTTGGATCGATAGACAATGAACTGTCATTATCCAAACTAATATTTGATGTGTTGTTTGCCTTTGACTTGCTTTTAATAAAGTCACTTAAGACACTATGAATTTCTTTGCGTATACTACCGGTCCAAATATCTGTGGCGTTTTCAAAATCAATGGGTGCGTTAGTCTCATGCAGTGATTTGACAGCGCTCATGTTTTCTTTGTTTTTGAAAGCACTGAATATTTTTTCTATTTTCGTGTCCATCATGCTTTCGCAAGCGGCAACCATTTTACGTACAAGAGGACTATCACTATTTTTTAGAAAAAAATTAATTTTATCTCGTTTTCGTTAGAAATATGTATTAAATTAGTACCTTGACGGCGGTGGCTTAGGCTTAGGTTGCTCAACCGCATCTAGTACTGTAGATGTTGATACATCCAAGTTTAATGAACCCTGCGAATCTATACTAGTATTCAATGATTCGAAACATGATTCCGGTGGCGGCACATTAAAACTGCTTTCTATGGGTTCTAGTCTGTTTAAAATTTTTCTAAAAAAATTTGTTTATTAATATTATGAAAATTGAAAGAAGTTTTTCTCTTACTTATTCATTTCTTTAGATGTAAATCCGATTTCTGATTCATTTAACTTAAATGCTCCAGGATTTTTATTTTTGTTCGGTGTACTAAAAGTGTTTCCATGGACTGCGATTCGTTTTATACCAGAATTGAGCGGATTATTAATTACATAAACTTTTGTGGATTTATTAATGGAATATGGCATATACATCTTTCCAGGCATATTTGAACTTTTTAAAGGAATTTTAGTAGTTTCTGGTTTTGATATTTGTTTGAATGGTGTTTTGGTTTTAGATTTCTAAAATAATATTAAATTAAAGTTAATAGATATTTTCAAAATAAATTGTATTAAAGACTTGTATGATCAACCAATATTCAATAAATTAATTAAATTTTTTGTTGTTGTTTCTTCATTACTTTTTGAACCCTTTTATATTATATTATATAAAATGAAATTCAAAATATATACAACAAGGAAGTACCACTCGCATTTCTATTGGAAATTCTAAGGACAGCGTGATATCATAGATTACAACAATTAAAATGAAGAACGTTGAAAAGTCTTTACGACTTGATCATTTAAAAAGTTTATTAAAATAACCATATAAAGCCCTAGTAAATCTCTACTGACGCTTATAGAAACGATATCACAACATCTGTTGTGTCTATGTCCAGAACCAAGCTTAAGTTGTTTGGTGTCCAATTCTTTAACAGTCTCGGCGATATTTTCAGCAATACCGTTGATCAGATTCTCGTATTTATCAATACTTCCGACTGGTTCTATCATGACCATTCTCCTACCCACCATTACAGGGAATTTTGGAATCAAAATGGCTTTTTAACTAATTGAAGACTCGTTTCTCCCTTCACTTCATCTAATCTAACCATATGAACTGACTATATTAAGAGAAGCGGCTTGATCTATGAACTATACCAGCAGATCCGTACCAACTTTATTGTGAAATTGAAATTTTTTGTAGTTGCCAAAAATTTTCCACAGGTCTTACTGAAATTTTGATTTATCTGATTTTAGTGTTGTTTTCTATTTTATGTTATTATTACTAACATATAGTTTATAGAAATATATCGATTAAATTTTAAATTCAATATAATATACTTTAATGAATACTCTGCTCACTTGAATTAGCATCATAAAGTATTAAGATGAAAATATATTTAAAATGTTATATCAAAATTTTTTATATGCATTACATACTTCTACATTATGGTTTTTTTATAAAAACCACAAAAATTCAATGCGACTCAATGCGGTTAAAAAAAAATAACGAAATAGATTATCTATTTTATTTATGAAACACAAGTTTAGTTAAAGTTCTAGAGCGGTGGGTGCAACATGTCATCAATTATAAGTCTTAATGATGTTATTACAGGTGCTTTGCAACACATACTGGAAGCTAAGTTTCCAAGATGTGAATATAGCTACAATATCAAGAAGGCATCTGCAAAAGGTGATAATTACATAGGTGAAGTTTTTCGTATATTTGTTGAAGTAAATGCAAATCGGGACAAACAATTTAAGCTCATATTAAAATTACCACCACAAAATCTTATACGACGTAAACAATTTTTTGCTCGACCATGTTTCTTAAGAGAGTCTCTGGCTTATGAAGAGGTTTGTTGTGTAAAAATAAAAAACTGCACGAGTGCTTTTTAATCGCAATATTATTTTCTATAGTTCTTGCCAATAGTAAATACATTTCAAATCACCAAAGGAATATTGCCAATAAATCCGCAATCATTTCATGAATATGCAGAATGTTATTACACGTTAACGGATGAAATGAATGAAGCTATATTTATGGAAGATTTATGCGACAAAAACTTTGATATATTTAACAGATTCGAGCAATTAACAATGGACCATGTTACACTAGTCTTGCGTATATATGCTAAACTACATGCGGTCTCATTTGCTATAAAAGATCAAAAACCTGAACTTTTTGAAAAGTTTCGAGATATTAAAGATATATTCCAACAGCGTAAAGATGATTCCCAGTTGGCAGTTTATTTCGAAGAACTCAAAAAAAGCACACTAGCATGCGTATACGAAAACGATAAATCTCATTGGAATAAGTTGCATGAATATTTTGAAAAAAGTACTTTCTTTGAACTCATTTTGCCACTTATCGATGGCAAATTAAATGAACCACATGCAGTCATTTGCCATGGTGATTGCTGGAACAACAACATAATGTTTAAACATGAGGAATGTACATCTTAATTGAATACTTTGCTTTGTTTTATATCGTATTTTTATTCTTACAGAATGAGAAGGTTACTGAAGCACGTTTGATTGATTGGCAAATTATGCGTTATGCTTCTCCTATTACTGATTTGGCATATTTTATATTTAGTTGTACCACACAAGAATTCCGCATTAACAACTACGAATTAATGTTGGATACTTATTACAGGGAATTTGAACAACACGTCAAGAGGTAAATCCAAAACATGTAGTACGATGCATAATAAAATCAAATATATTTTGCTAGATTGGGTTCTGAACCAAAAAATTTATTTTCACGAGACACCTTTAATACAGAATTAAAGAAAAAAGGTGCTATTGGTTTGCTTTTGG